CCGACCGACCGACCGACCGACCGACCGACCTCTTCTTCTCTCGTCCTGTGCTCTCTGGCGCCTGCTTTAACCGCGAGCACATGCACACTCGCACATATTCTGGCACAGAAACGCGACCATACACACACACACACACACACACAAACAAACGGATACAGGCATAAGCACAGAGACGTCGAGGCAAGTGTAAAATATTGACTTTCACAATAGTCCGTGGAAGCGTGCCAACGAAAGGCTTGTTGTGTGTTTTCCAGAGCAACAGGAAAAGTTGATAAACAGTTACGGCCCAGCGGACCTTCGTTTCCTTGTGCTTAAACGGACGACATGTTCTCCTCTCAGCCTCTCAGCGTCTAGCCCTTGAGCTCTCACCTTCTTCTGCTCTCTGGCCTTGTGGCTTCTGCTCGCCTCCCTCTGAACTGGCTCAGCTTCCTTGTCGCTGTGGTACCGGCGAGGACCGAGAGGATGTACCAACTCGTCTCGGCAGCACTGCTTTGGCCCAACTCCCCTTCCGGCCGAGAAGTTAACAACATTGAAGGCCAATGAAAGACCGCGATTCGGGGGACAACACCGCTCCCGGCGGCTCGACTAACTCGGGCCTGCCTTCGGAGACTTCTGACGAGATTGACGGCTGTGTTCCCGGAGCCTCCGGGTCTCCGGTAGGGTCGTCCGACGAAACAGACGATTTCAGGATGGCCTCGTCCTGTCGATCCAGCGGCAGAATGCGTCGCCCACTGCCTGCTCTGGCACCACAGCTTGACATGATGTTCGTTTCCAACACCCTCTGGATCCTGCGACGGATCGCCGATTCTGACCTCCTCCTCTATGCAGGCCAGTCAACCAGCGGTTCACAGCCAACTCTGACACGGGCCAAATGTCGCATTGCGAAATCGCTAAGTCAGGACGCCGCGCTCACCTCGAAAGAGACGGACGGTTTCTCCGCCCTCCGCTGCTCCTACACTGACCTTTTCATGCTGTCAGGGTGCGGGAGGTCAAGTCGATTGCACCTCCTTCTCACAACATAACCACGCATCTTTACGGCCTGCGTTCATTTCCTCTGCCTGAAATAAACAAAGAGATGGATGGATAGATAGATAAACATAAAATGGATAGAAAATG